AGAATATCGCGATATATATCGTATATCGCGATATAGTCAGTAAATATCGCGATATCATTTAGAGACCATATCGCCCAGCCCTACTTTGAGCTCCATACTGTTTCAGAGATAATCCTTGATAATCCATGATATGGAGTTTCATCACGGCAGCATTTAGTTTAGACAGTAGCTGCCGGGTCCCGCATGAGCTCAGCCCCCTCCTTTTTTATTTCTTATCAATTTTTTATTGAGCTTTATACCCAAAATCAGCACTTTTGTAACAGGGAGTGAAATAGAGGGATATGAGGCGTGGCTAGAATGGGTGATCTGTTTGGTATTTTGAGCAAAACACTTCATAGACATGTTTTTTATATAATTTTGTATATCTGAGACCTATGCTATTGCCTAAAAATAGCATGATAGTAATCAAGAACTGCTCCCACCTGTCCCGGGAAAGGCCTTCTCTGGACACAGAGTTCATTGCAGTGAGATGGGATTTTGGAGATGAGAGTGGGAGAATCCAAACCACATCCCTCAAACTTCACAAGCGTGGAATCCCCGTCCTTCACGTGGATCGGAATATCCACCTGTTATTACACAGTAAAATATTCCAAATTAAACAGATTGGACAATTAGCTACTTAGGTATAAATGCAATGGTATATGTCATTGTTCTGAATAAAAACATATTGTTTATCTGTTTTTTTTTTACAAAAGTACACATTTCTGTTGCTGTTTAGTGACATGAGTGTATTTTTTGTACTTCTTTTTTGACTTTGTTTTGTCCAACATGTGCTTTTTTTTCAAAATAATACTGACATGAAGGAAAGACAAACAGAAAAAATATATACTATACAAATAAATATTGTTTAAAAAATTATAAAATTGTTATCAAACCTATACAAATGAAAATGAAAAAAATTCATATAAATATTAGTAATATTAAAGGGGATTATAAAAAAAGTATAAAACATATTACACGATGATGGTGATATATAAAGTGGAGTAACGAGAGGTTCTACATTGCTATGAGCTTGATGATAAAGCTACACCTATATTTCAGAGACACATGTTGCCTTTTGTAGGAGCAGCCCAAACCAGTTGTCTGAAAAGCAGTGGTAAGAGGGCGGCAGCAGGACTTCAGATTATAGCTCCATCCTTACGTGGTACATCTTGGCCTCCAATGGAGAGAAGATCCATCCCAGCAGGGCCGTCTCTCCAGGACGGACCTGTCCCTCTGGATTGAGGCAGCACAGCACTGGATGGTTAAAGTTGTCCTCCTGCAGCTGTAACAACACGGCCGTGCCCACCGTATAATGGACCGGCACTGCACCGCGATTGTGTATTTTATACACCTGAAGGCCAAACAAAGATATACAAAGTCACCCTGTTTTTTTCCAGTCTTTCAGAGAAGCTAAGGTCACAATGATAACAATAACAGGTGTAACAAAAGAAAGTTCCTTTAGTAATTTTTTAAGGTCCATTTTTTTAAATCTGGAAAACAGGTGGGGGGAATAAATGATGGCAGGTTATTTCTTTTTTTGGTAAGGAAATATTGTTCTAGCGTTGGTGGTTGCACTACTACCATTTTTAACAGGATTAATAACTCATGTTTTCTTAAAGGTCCCATGTCAAGGCCATTTCTACTGATCATAATTCCATTGTTGAGGTCTATTAGAATAGATTGATATTGTTCAATGCTCCAAACTCACATTGGTTTCTCATACAGCATCTCTGCATAGTATGTGTATTCACTCTCTGTCCTAAACGGCTTGTTGGAGCTCCTGCCCCCCCTCCCTATGAGCCCACTGTGCTCTGATTGGTCCGCTCGCCCCCACTCTGTTCTGATGAGTCCACCACCGTTACAGCGGAACATCAGTGATTATGTGTTACAATGGCGTTAGCAACCAGAAAATGACACCAGTAATGACAAACAGATGAGAATGCTGCGTGGGGTCTGGGTGCCGTGTTGGCGGGACGTTGCGAGGCTCGCTGCTGTGAGGAGCGGACAGTGTGAGCTGGATTGCTGGTGTCATTTCCTGCTTGCTGCGAGACAGCGAGATATCGCGAATGGATGCGGGAAGGGGGGGGTGCTGAGGGGGCTGCAGCACCCCCATCTGCGAGGCTCCACTAGCACCCGCAAAGCATGACATGGGACCTTTAAGGTGATATCTTTTTTGTGCATTACTATTATTATTATTATTATTATTATTATTACTACAACAACAAACACCAAGAAAAACTAACCTGAGAAAATATTTTAACAGAATATTCTTTTCAACTTGCCCAAACTTTTTTTTAGACACTTAGAAAGATGATCCTGGTAAAAACCCTGTTCTTAAGTCATAGGCAACGAACAGACAATATCTTTTGCAGAAGATTGTTTTTTTTCCTCACTTGCCTCCATACATTTTAGTCAAACAATGGATTTCCAAACACTCTTTAGGCAAAACTGTAATTACTAAATCCAGTTGATTTTATCTTGTATGAAATAAAAAACAAGAAAATGTATAATAATGTTTAGATAATTTTTTGTTAGATGCTGCGTAGTGGATCACACCTATGTAGAGATCAGTGATTTTATGCTGCAGTTCAAACATTTAAAAAAACAGAAGAAATCAGTGGAAGACGTTTCACTGAGTATATGGAATATTATACTCTAAGTTGGAGTGCAAACCTTTCAGCTCAAGTTGAAAATGTCACTCCTTCTAGGCTTGGTTGGATGTTAGAGAAATGAAACACACACCTGTTTTGGAGGAGTACAGTCCCCAATAGTTACAGAAGTGAAGACATGTCGCTTGGAGGCAAAGTGAAGAAAGGGTCTGTCTCTCTCCACCGTCACCCCCTGAAAGTTCACCTGCACACAGAACCACAAGCCATGGACGTGAAGTCAATATCAAACAGTCACATTTTTCATCAATCTTAATGATAAATTACAAATGTGTTTTTTGTCTTGTTAGACTTGATTAAAAATGAGCCTTGTGTCACTGTATATGGATGTTTGCCTCACCAAGATCTCTCTGCCATAAGAGAGTTTGAACACGACAGGGAATCGATCCATACCAGCGAAGAGATGGCTGCAAAGGACCAACTTTTTATTATTGTGGGACCACTTATTAGTGTTATCTGCTTTTAAACAATTCTAACCCTTGCAAATGTGAGCAAATTGTCTGAAATGATCCTCCTGTATGGTGCAATAATCTCTGACCTGTAGGTGAAGCTCACCGCCCTCTGCTGGCCAGGAAGTAAAGTCCCAGAACGAGGAGTAATGCTGAACAGTTTGTTGTTTTGAACCTGTCGGTGAGATGAACATATAGTATGTGTGCTTACTTTCTGTCTGTATCTTTATCAAAAATAACATATTTTGATATTATTTTATATTAAAAACCCCTTCTGGAAGGGACTGGTCTGACCTTCATCTGGTACATTTCAGTGCTGCTGAACTCTCCGGTCTCTGCCCAGTACTCCAACTCTATCTGTTGGTCCTCTGGAAACAAGAATGCCCTAATATTGAAAAGAGAACATTCAGTAGACATTAAAGTTGAAGCCAAATGTTTAGCTGTGAGCAATGTATGAGATCTTAAATAGAATGCTAAATGCAGTTATCTTAGCCTTCGATTGACTGTATTCTCTAGACGTCAGCTTTTTACCCACCAGTCCACAGGGATGGAGCCAGGGTTGTGAAACATCAACCCAAACACTGAGGGCTCTGAATTTAGAGGAGTGGCACTGAAGTTGAAATCCAACATGGCGTTGGTGAAGATGGAAGGAGAACTGCTCACACTAGAGGCAGGAAGAGAAGACACATCATGAACACACCACATCCTAACAATGTAAATACAGGACATATCTTGTCAAAGTAGAATTCAGGTGTGATTGCATTTTGTTTTGTTATTATAAACAATACAATTATTCATACTTTATATACATTTACAAGTCTCAAAAAGCCACTGTAGACACCTTTTAAAACAGACATTTCCATTACGTTGAATTATTTGTTTCCTCAAGGAAACTTTGCTCCAGGTCTTACTCCTTCTCTGCTCACTAAAGAAATAAGCCCTTGGTCAAACTGCATGTCTATCTTTGGCAGCCAGGTGCATAAACACACTGACATTTGTTTTTTGTTTTTGAGTAATCAAGCAGCCCTTCAAAGACACATCAAACACATCCCTCAAAAGATGGCCTTTTTTCCCATGGAATGATCCGTGCATGCTTACAGATTCTCACAGACACACACACACACACACACACACACACACACACACACACACACACACACACACACACACACACACACACACACACACACACACACACACACACACACACACACACACACACACACACACACACACACACGACGACGTAGTACGTACGTACGTACGTACGTACGTACGTAGTACGTAGTAGTTACGTTACGTTACGTACGTACGTACGTACGTACGTACGTACGTACGTACGTACGTACGTACGTACGTACGTACGTACGTACGTACGTACGTACGTAGTAGTAGTACGTAGTACGTACGTACGTAACGTAAGTAGTAGTAGTAGTACGTACGTACGTACGTACGTACGTACGTACGTACGTACGTACGTACGTACGTACGTACGTACGTAGTAGTACGTACGTACGTACGTACGTACGTACGTAGTAGTACGTACGTACGTACGTACGTACGTACGTACGTACGTACGTACGTACTACGTACGTACGTACGTACGTACGTACGACGACGACGGACGGACGGTAGGAGAG